ATTGATAGTGAGGTTTTTTCAGTTTTTATTTTATTTCAACATCTTTATCTCAACTGCAGTTTTTAAAGGATAAGGATAAAAAATGATAAAAGCATAAATAAGTATTGGGTCTTGATAAGGCAAGTGTGCATACTATAATTTATGTAGTTTTTAAAATGTAACTGATGGAATGTATAGGAGAAAAAAATCATAAAAACAATACAGAAGTCAACAACATAATTAACAAATTTGGCTTAATGGATGTGTACATACTTCTTCATGAAAAAATTACAGAATGTATATACTTCATTAGCATATGTAAAAATATATAAACAAAAACTACATTGAGTCATAAAGAAAGCCTCATTATAAAGAACTGAAAGCGTATGGATTATTGATTCTGATAACAATTATATTGATACAACTCAGTACAAAAAAAACCAACTAAACAAAAAGTCACCTTATGTTGCAAAGTAAAGAAACAATTCCAAATGATCTGCCTGTCAAGAACAAAAAGGAAGAGAAGGCACAAATAGCCAGTATCAGGCGTAGAAAAGGGGCTAGCGCTAGAGACTTTCACAGATGTTAATGAGATACTAGAATTATATAATGTGAGACTCCTGGTTCTGTCAAGATAGAGTTGCACTATTCTTCCCAGGTCCTCCCTTTGATTACTAAAATAATGCACATAGCATAAGCAGCAGCATAAGAAGATTCTGAGAGTTATAAAGAAAGCAACTATCATCTTAGGACCCTGGAATTTGAGGAAGCACATTACAGAGTTCCCTGTTTTCTTTTTGCTTCTCATAGATCCCAGTTTAGTCAACAGGCTCAGATAAAAGAAAGCTCTAAGAAGAGCCAGATAACAGGAAAAGGATGACCTAACAGCAGGCGAAGGCAAGAAGTCTTTGATACTCTAAGAGTGGGCAAATGATACATGTGTGTACATGCTTATAGCAGGGCCTGGGTTGTTCCATGTTGCAAAGATGTCATGATTTTCATAATATGAAAGTCAATGGTAAGGCCATAAGAAACAATATTGAAAGTATCAAGCTTTTCAGGAAAAGCTGCATGGGATTGCTGCAGATGAGAATTATTTGCCAGAATATATAATTGGATCTTGATGAATTAGCTTGTTGTTCTGGAAATATATGCTGGAGTGTACATGCATTCATTAGGAGTCAAGAAAATTCTAGGATTCAAGACATTCAAAGATGATGTTACACTGCTTTGGGGAGGGAAATACTGCAGCAAACAGAGAACCTTAGAGCACTCAAGAATGTGAGCAAGCATATGCTTCCATTTATAATTGCCAACAAATCCTGGATGACATCCATATTGTCTGAAGAATGGTTTTTGAACCATTTTATTACATAAACAAGAGAATATTGAATGTAAAACATCCCAATCATGCTCTTTCTGATCAGGGCATCTATAGCATATCTGTGATGCATATCTTAATGTAAAATTTATAACACAATCACACTGCACAAAGATGCAATAGCTGTGTTCTGAGGATGTTATTTATGCTGAACATTTGTACAGGCTATTGAAGAGAATGAATCTGACCAAATGCTTCAAAAGTTTTGGAAAGGTTTCAACATTCTAAATACCATCAGAAACATTGTTGCAGCATGGGAAAAGTCATAGAGCAATGCAAGAACAACTTTCATAATAAGGTTTCGGAGGCACATGTGAACATATTCAAAGCCTTTAACAAAGATTCTGCTGTTGATGGAACAGTTGCTGCAGAAGTAGTAGTTATGCCTAAGACACCAAGAAATCTTGTTCATAGCAAAGAAGTGGAAGAGGTGTTGCAGTTTGAGAAAAATCTCACCGTTTTTTGTCTACTTGGCTGGTGACCAGAAGTGTTTCTTTTCCCTCCTGTTCCTGCATGGGAGTTTTCAATTAGTTACTTTTTATCCATTTTCTATTAGGTTGGTTGGAGGCAAACTGTCTAGACCACAGAGACCCTGGACCTTGAGGAAACTTCTACACATTACCTATGACTCTGACATTCAACTTGGATGAAGTAACTGAGTAAGAATTTGAAGTTGTATTACATGGGGGACAGAATGAGCATACTACATATAGAATTTATTAATGTGAAGGTATGCATCAATGCAGGTTAGTTAAAGGGAGTACCCCCTTTTTACTCCTTTTTCTGTATTAAAGAGATCAAAATTAATCTATTTCCAGTCTCCTTTATAGTGTCAAATGGCCTGTGACACTATTCTGTTAGAGATAATGTAAGTCTTATAATGGGTTTGTATATTCATTTTTTTATATCTGAATGGAAGGCAAATGAAGTGCCTGGAGACCTAATAGCACTTGCAACCATGAGGACAGAAGTTGTGCTAGGAATGAAGGAGAAGAGCCCAAATGGCCAGAGGTCAGGACACCATAGAGCCTCTGCACCAGCTAACAGAGACCAGGGAGCCAGGGCTCTTGGTAATGTGCAGCAGAACCAAATTGAAGCTGAAATCAACTTCACAACTCAGCAGATGTGTAAATGAGGGAAAATCATTTAATAATTATGACTCATATTTCATATATGAAATGAGAACATTAAAAATCAGTTTGGCAAACTACGAAAATCTATGTGAAGAGTTTCCAACAAAATAATAAGTACTCAATAAATATTATCATTAGCAACAGCAGAATTATTATATAAGAAAACTTTGAACTTCACTAGTACTAAAAATATGAAAATATGGGAAACTTTCCATCTATCAAATAATAATCTTTAAAATGACATCCGAGAGGGAACAGTGAAATATGAGCTCTGACATATCACTGGTGATACTATAAATTAGAATAATTATTTAGTAAATGATGTCTCAAATTATCCAAAGGATTAGAAATATCTAAGTCTAGCAATTCTACTTTTGGGTATTCATCATGAAGATGATTTTTAAAATGCCATAGGATTTTCATAAAGATGTCAATCAGAATACTACATATAACAGAGAAACTTTGTAAGCAACATAATATTCTAGATGTTAGCAACTGTCTGATATCTAGAAATACTTAACTGTGTTATACTATTTTTGGTAAAGAAATAAAATTCTAAATTCATTGAAATTACATAAATGAAATGAATAAAATTCCATGGAAAGACATATATCATAATATTAAGGAAATTTTGGCTCCCTAATGGTACATATAAGATAAATAAAAAGTTCACACAAAAGGAGGAAATTCTTTGGGCACCGTGGCAATACCTCAGCTACTCAAGAGTCTGAGTGTAGGCTTCCTCCTCAAGTGCATTCACCTCAAGGCTGCAACAAAACAATGGTCAGGGGAACCATGTGCTGACTGGCTTAAAAGAAAACTGCCTAGAGTAAGCAAAACTGGTGCTGTGTTAGGAAAAAGGGAAAGAGTGAGTTGATACTAAAGAGATAAGCAGTAATGTTTCTCTAAAATTCTACTACTTTAATTTTTCAAATTACATTTATTGCTTCCAAGATTTTGAAAGTCATTTATTTAATTGAAGAAAATTTGGAGAACAGAAACTGTCAAAAACTCACACATGATCCTATTACAATGAGACATTCATTGTTAACATTATGGTGCATTTAAAAAATCTAAACAAATAATAACAGTGCAGATAAACTAATAAATTATATATAATCCTAATTAATTCCTTTAATTTGGAAATACGATTTTAATGGCTCAGTAACAGTTTTTCATATGGAAACAGCATAATTTATTCAACCATTTCTCTCTTGTAGGTCACTTGTATTAATTTCCTTTTTATTAGTGTATAAAATATGTCAATATCATTGGATGTAATATTTTACCTGATCTCTGATACACTGCCTTAGGATAGTTTTCAAAAGGTAAGATTATTGGATCTAATTTTTTAAGGATCTTTTTACATACTGCCAAATGAGCACATACTACATATTGTGAGAAAAAATCTAATAAATACAAAATGAGAATAATATTTGCCCTTCTAACTTCAGAGGTTGGTAAAAATATCAGAACATATAATTTTCAAAAATATTGTGAAAATTATGGCATTATATAAATGTAAGATACTATTATTTTTTAATGTAAAATATTTTGATGCAAGCAAAAATATTCAACAGAAGCTGATTTATGATAATTTCTCTTGGGTTATTTTATGATTTTTATCATACATATTGTCATAAATTTAAACAACCTTTCAATAGCCTGTCTGGCATTATAACAGAAGGTACTTTTGTCTTAGCTATTGAAGTATTTTTACTCAAATGATTTTAAATGTCTATTAATTAATTATTATGCACTTAACTATATCCTATGAAGAAGGTTAAAACCTTCTAAGGAATATCCTATAACTGAATGTGAAAGACAAATATACAACCAACTAAAATAAATGATAAATAATACAATAAAGCAAAAACATTTCACCATGGGAAACAGGAACATGAAATAATTAATGTCTCGCTTTCTTCTATGTTTTTCCTTTGCTTCAATTTCTGCCAATTGTTCTCTTTGCCTGGACTCACGCTTTCATCTTGTTCTAAATTTTGGTATTTGTGAAGGTTCATTTCCAGTCTGCCTATCTAAGCTAAAAATCCTGAACTTACTCCTATCACTCTCTTTTTTTTTTCGTCTACTCTTACCCAGATCATCTCCAGTATAGATTTTGACCTCTAGGACTTACTACTGCCATCTCTGCATTACCAGGCTGACCTATTATTTATGTGATGCTATTCATGTGTTAGAAAAACATATAATAAGTTATGTTAGTAAAATTTTAAATAACAGAATAAAGTTAGCCAGTGTTAAGGAGTAAAAATTAAGGAAAGAATTATATCTAATTCATCATTTTATACATTCAATATGTACTAGTTATGATAACTCACTCCAGTAATAATGTAATAATGCTTAATATGTTACTTACCAGAGGAAAGAAGGCATTTGAAAAAATTCTATGAAACTATATGAAAACAATCACATCATCATGATGAAAGAGATTTAAAAAAAAAAAAAAAAGCACTACCAGGGCTAACAACAAAATACACCCACAGTTAATTTATCTTCCATTTTTATTTGTGTGAGAATTCCAGGGTTATATTTTTCCATGGGATGGCTGGGCCATACACTTAATTACTGGACCATACACTTATTTTATCAAGGATAATAGTTCCCAGCATATAATTAATACTTTTTCTGTTAATGTGTTGCCCACTTGTACCTACATCCAATTTGTGTAATTTGGTAAGTACAAATATCTGTGTCCTTTTAAGAAAGGAAATATGAAGAGCAAAACAGGAATGTCCCATAGCAAAGATGATACAAAAATAAATCAAAAAATATTTAGGAAATTGAGAAACTGTTCATTTTGTAAGTTATTTATGTATTTTCCTGGTACTTAAACCTTTGGTAAGTTTTCAAATTCAAATATAACATCCTTGTGTGAGAGAAGATAAATATTAGTCATGGTATCAGTAATAACTAACACATAATACTCATTTTTAATAGTGAAGTAAATAAAATGAAAGTCCTAATGAGTGATTTTTTTCTAGAGGTATTATCCAAAAAAAGAAATATCTTAGTCTCCCAACTGAGAAAGTTCAAATGTTGATCTAGGGAAATATAATGATTTCTCCATTTCATTCTGAAATGTCAGGGTAATTAAAGAGACTTTAAAATGGAAGTTTAAGATAGCCACATTGAGGAGAGAAAGGGAGAGAGAAGGGAAATTGCATGGAAATGGAAGGAGACCCTCAGGGTTATAGAAAATTACATACAAGAGGAAGTGAGGGGAAAGGGGAAAAAATACAAGGGGGAGAAATGAATGACAGTAGAGGGGGTAGAGAGAGAAGAGGGGAGGGGAGGGGAGGGGAGGGGAGGGGGGATAGTAGAGGATAGGAAAGGCAGCAGAATACAACAGACACTAGTATGGCAATATGTAAATCAATGGATGTGTAACTGATGTGATTCTGCAATCTGTATACAGGGTAAAAATGGGAGTTCATAACCCACTTGAATCAAAGTGTGAAATATGATATATCAAGAACTATGTAATGTTTTGAACAACCAACAATAAAAATTAAAAAATAAAAAGATAGCCACATTGAACTGTTTTAAAAACCCACAATGTGGTTTGGGTTAGGCCTTACACTAAAAAGACTAACAACTGCAGTAATAAGATGTAGGCTTTAAAACTGGCTTTGAACTGTGAAAGGGTGAACTAGAATAGTTAAATTTCCATAAAATTAAATCAAAGGATTGAAATAAGCTAAAATCAAAGTTATAAAAAAACGTGGTGACCTGAGTCCAGTGAATATATAGTAAAGAAAATGGGATACATATTTTTAAAACCCTGCAAAATCTTCTGGGCTAATCTAATACAGTATATTTAAAACTATTTTTTAAACAGTGATACAAGAGATATTCGGAAGTCATATGTAGGTTTAGCATTCATGGATAAAGATAACATGATGTTCACACTTAAAAGTATGTGGACATACTATGATTAAAACAATGAGACCTTTTGTTGTAAAATCTGATTATTTAATTTTAGCATAATAGTGATTTATTATATATTAATATTTCAAAAATATACTTTTATGTTTAATAAACCACCAAATAATTCAAGATAATGTCCTATACGCATGCTTTTGCTCCATACACCAGACTGCTGTTGCACTGAAGGCAGTGAATTCCATCACGGGGATTATAAGATCCAGGGCTGCAGATCACTGTGAATAAACAATAAATTAGTAAGTAATATGTCCCCAAAATGTCACATAAATTAACTTTGTATGTAGCATAAATTGTCAAAGAGTCTCTTAAGTGTTATTTTAATTGAGGTAAAATACATATAATATAATTTAATGTCTTTAACCCCTTTTAATTGTAACTTCAGTATTGTTAAGTATACTCACATGTATAACCAATTTCCAGAATATTTTCATCCTGCAAAACTGCAACTCTATGCCTATTAAAAACTCCTGTTTCTCTTCCCTCCTGCCACTGGAAACTTAATACTCTATATTCTTCATTTAGGTAAAATGATATAATAAAAGCTTTTCACTCTGATCCTGGCTCAGACAAAGACTATAATCTAGAATAATTTTTACTGGTAATACAATGTTGAGTTCAAAGGTTGAATAGATCATTCTTTCAGTTATAGCAGAAGCCACTAGATGTCAACATCACAGGTACAACCAATTGTGCTTATCAGATGGCCCATCATAAACTGTGCCTTAGATTTGTAAAGGTAGCTCCAATCTGCAAAGTGACTACAGCTTATTTTTTATAATCTTGTGATTTCAAGTCCTATTTTTACTACTTACTAAATATAAAATTTGAAAAAATGCTAATTTAAATTAATTTGATAATCCCTAATATAAGGATAATGCCATGAATATATTATCATATCTTATCTCTTCATGACAGAAAGTTAAAGAAGTGCAGAAAGAAACAGAGTTCAAATACCATTTGTTAATGAGATTTACTCTGGAATCCCAGGTAAAGCATTCAAGTCTCTAAATTTGACTATCCTCATTTGTAAAGCAGGTAAAATAATAGCCAAATTCATAATATTAACATAAGGATTAAAATGAGATGACTTCTATGAAAAAGCAATCAATAAATGCCTAACCAGAATGCACTCTGGGACTACCATCTCATCCACTGCAAGTAGAGGCATGCATTTCACATTCTTTCATGCAGAATTCTAACTAGGCTGAGTATCTAACCTGTTTCTCCTTTTCCTATTGAAAGAGTAGTTGGACAAGGATCTCAGTCATACATATAAGGTATGGATGTTATAGGACATCAAATAAATTCTTCCAGCATTATAATAATATGTGTTAATGTTTGGATTATTATACTATTACTATTTAATTTCATATTGTTTTAAGTTTTAAGAAGTAGTTTTTAAAATTAGGAAATATTTTAACTATTTATTCAGAGGAAATATTTTCAATACTATATTCCACAGACTTTTTCAAATATTAGTAGATGTTTTATTTGGAATGTAATGTTTCAGATGGAAAAAAATACGAATTCACCAATGTTAAATAGATGTGTTTTGCTTTACAAATAACAAGAAACTTTAAACTGATAATGTACATACTAAAGTCCCAATGATGTTAATACAGTATGTTTTCTCAAACATATGTGATCATAATGCCTTTTCTCTCAAATCACACATTAATATTTCCTGAAAACACAAATGTGGTAATGCTAAGCAAATTTATTGGAAGTGTTAAATCACAGCACAAGCTGAAGAGAAATCTTCATGCTATTTTTACATACATAGTTTATACTGATTGTCACAAAAGAACCAATATTGGCATAATTTTGAGTTCATGGTTATGTATATATGATCTTGCAATAGCTATTAGAAATAACAAACTTTCATGATATGTCTAATACTAGAGAATCCTTATCTGTAGTATTCTTTCCTAGTATTGTAATACTAAAATATTTTTCTCTGTAAAGCATATTTGAGGGAAAATGTTAAAATGGAATTTAAACACATAGAACAAGATAAGTGGACTACATTTATTAAAGAAAGAAGGATGCACTGATGATTTAGTATTGACTTATAAACAAATGACAAGAAAGTACTGGAAAAAACCTCAAATTTTAGGTAAGGAAATTCTTTAAAAGATACATACATGAACATAGTAAAATTACTTGATAATGAATTAAGGATTTAATAAAATTTTAAAGTAGTAATCAAGGAGCACATTAGGATAATAATTGCAGCTATGTAATCAACAAAAGAATATGATTCAGAATATATAAACTACCCAGATAAATCAATGAGAAAGAAAAGAAAACTACTTTAAAAATACTTTAAAAATAGACACCAAAAGAGAAAAATACAATTGGTTAACTTATGAGCTTTTTACTATACCAAAAAAAGTATTAAAATAAACCAGAATCTAAACAATGCAAATAAACATCAAAATATATACTGAGAGAAGGTTCAACAAGATACTGAAATAGGAAGCTCTGGACCCCAGTTCTCTCATGAAAATATTAAGTAAACTACAAGGTACAGGACAAAGTAACTTCATAAGAGCGCTGAAAACAAGTCAAATATCTATAGCAATCCAGTGAACACACAGACAAAACAAAACAAAACAAAATACCTGCAAAAGAAAATAGTGGGGAAAACAGTGGGAAATTTTATGGCATCTTTACTCACTCATGCCCAACATCCTCCTCAATACAGTTCTGGGAAATTCCACTCCACATACTTGAGAGAACAGAGCAGACAGAATTGGCACTCTTAAATGCATGAGGGATGCCTGCCATTGGACTTGATGATGGCACAAGTCATATCTCAGGCCATAGGTATGGTTCCTAAAAACCATAACTACAAATCCATACATGCATGGGCAAGAGATTACGCATGAACACAATACCTAAGGCTATAAAAGAACCAAGGAAATTCTCAGAAAAATTAAGACATTTAATATCAGCCATGTATATGGAGGAATCATAAAAAAGAAACACCTATGGACAAAGCATATAAAGATGCTCAACATCAGTAATTGTAAGAGAAAGGCAAATAAAATCTATAATGAGGTATCACCTTATATAGATTAGTATGAGGAAAAATAAATGAATGTTGGTGAGGATGTGGAAAATTTGGAAACTTTTTGCCTTGTTAGTGGGAATACAAATCTTCTATGAAAAACACAAACATAATGGAGGTTCCTCAAAAAAATTAAATATAGAATTGCCATATGATCCAGCAAACCCACCTCTGAATGTATATCCAAAAAAACTAAAAGCAAGATCTGAAAGAGATATTTACACACCCATGTTCAATGAAGCATTATTCATGGTAGTTAAGAGGGAGAAGCAACCAAGTTGTCCGCTGGTAGACGGGAGGACAAACATACATAAAATGGAAAATGCATAATAAAATTCACCCTCAAACAAGAAGTTAATCCTGTCATATGCTACAACACAAATAAGCCTGTGCTAAGTAAAATAAATCAATCACAAAAAAAGACACTGCATGAGTCCCCTTAAAAGATGTTATCTGAAGTAGTCAAACTTATAGAAACAGAAAGAAAAACAGTAGCTACTAAGGGATTAGGGGTGGGTAATGGGAAATTGTTGTCCAGTGGATAAAAATTTTCAGTTATAAGTTCTGTTTAAATACACCAATGATAAAACAATCCTATCCGGCAATTACAAAAATATTTATTTACAATGTATTAGTATATAATATTTTGGGATAAATTTAACCAAGTTGGCAAAATACTAACACAGATCAGTGAAATAAACTAAAAGACACAAGTAAAAGAGAATACACCACATCACCATGGGTTAGAAGACAATACCATTAAAATGTAGCTCCACCCAAAGCTATTTACGGATTCGATGCAATTCCTATCAAAATTTAAATGACTTTTATTTTCCCCAGGTACAGAAATCTGCATCCTAAAATTCATTTGGATTCTCAAGATAAACCAAATAGCTAAAACACCTTGAGAAAGAAGGGCAGAGTTAGGATCTCATGCTTCCTAATTGTAAAACATAAAACTAGTAATCAAAACAATGTAGTGCTACCATAAAGAAAGCAATATAGACCAATGAAACAGAACTGAAGATCCAGTAATAAACTCATTGGGTCAAATGATTTCGATAATACTACTAAGATTATTCAATGAGGAGAGGGCAATTGTTTTTTCAATAAATGGTATTGAGAAAAATAGATATCCACATAAACTGAACATGGGCTCTTAACTTATATCATATAATGGATCCAAGACATAAACTTAAGAGCTAAAACTGTAAAATATTTAGAAGAAAATATTGGGGAAAAGTTTCATGACCCTGGATTTTGTAATGATTTCTCTCATTGACACAAAAACACACAAGGAATGAAAATAAATGCATTGAACTTCATTAAAATTTAAAACCTTTATTCATCAAAAGACCTTATGAATATAACAAAAAGGAAAGAATATTTGCAAATGATGTATCTAGTAAGGAGTTAATATCAAAATATACTTAAAACTCCTGCAACTCAACAATAACACAAAAACAACCCAGTTAAAAATTGATGTGGCTAAGTGTGGGGTATGTGCCTTAAATCCTAGTGATTTGGGAGGCAGAAGCAGGAGGATTACAAGTTCAAAACTCAGCAACTTAATGAGACCCTGTCTCTAAATAAAAAATAAAAGGGCTGGGATGTAACTCACTGGCTAAGTGTCCCTATGTTGAATCCCCAGTACCAAAAAAAAAAAAAAAAGGTTAGAAGTCTTGAATAGATATCAACTCCAAAAAAAGACCCTTAACATTAGAAATACAAATCTAAACCACAATGGGACACCATTTCAAACACATTAAAGATGGCAAGTATCACAATAACAGAAAATAAGAGCTGGTGAGGAATGAAGAAATTGTGAACCTTGTATTTTCTTAATGTGAATGTAAAATGGTTAAGCATCTATGGACATAGTAATGATGGCTCCTCAAAAAATTAAGAATAGAATTACCATATGACCCAGAAATTCTGATTCTGGTATTTAGCTGAAAAACCTGAAATCAGGGTTTTAAAGACATATTTGAAGACTTTATAGTCTCAATGTCTGTATCTACCACCAAATTGACATGAAAGACTTAATCCCTGATGAGGATATATTTAGAGACAGTGTCTTTAAGATAGTAAACTTAAATGAGTAGAATTGGGCCATGATCCAAAAGGACTAGTGTCAAATAA